GAGGGGGAGGGGAGGGGAGTCCGCCTCACGCCCGCCCCCAGACTTTGCACAGTCGAACTCTCGCGAGAGCGGTGTCTCCACGAATTCTCGCGAGAGTGGTGTCTGCGTGTCCGGACGTGCGGAGGTTGTCACTTTCATCATGGCGCCCAAGGTAGCGACGGCCGCCAGTGGCGCTGCGAAGACGGTGCTCAGGCCAGCCCTTCTCTGCCGTCCCTGGGAGGTTCCAGGCGCCCATGAGGCCCCCTCGAGGAGCATCTCCTCACAACGGACGATTCCTTCCTCAGCTAAGTATGGCGGGCGGCACACGGTGACCACGATCCCAGGCGATGGCATCCGGCCGGAGCTCATGCTGCACGTGAAGGCCGTTTTCAGGCACGCCTGTGTACCAGTGGACTCTGAAGAGGAGCACGTGAGTTCCAACGCTTATGAAGAGGACATTTGCAACGCCATCATGGCAATCCGCCGGAACCGTGTGGCCCTGAAGGGCAACATCGAAATCACCCATGACCTGCCACCATCCCACAAATCCCGAAACAGCATCCTTCGCACCGGCCTGGACCTCTATGCCAACGTCGTCCAATGTAAAAGCCTCCCGGGCGTGGTGACCCGGCACAAGGACATAGACATCCTCATTGTCCGGGAGAACACGGAGGGCGAGTACAGCAGCCTGGAGCGTGAGAGCGTGGCGGGAGTGGTGGAGAGCCTGGAGGTCATCACCAAGGCCAAGTCCCTTCGCGTTGCCAAGTATGCCTTCAAGCTGGCGCAGGAGAGCGGGCTCAGGAGAGTGACGGCCGTGCACAAGGCCACCATGAAACTGGGCGACGGGCTCTTCCTCCAGTGCTGCAGGGAGGTGGCAGCTGGCTACCCCCAGATCACCTTTGAGAAGATGATTGTGGACAACACCACCATGTAGCTGGCATCGCGGCCCTAGCAGTTTGATGTCGTGATGATGCCCATTCTCTATGGCAGTGTTGTTGGCAACGTCTGCGCAGGACTAGTCGGAGGCCCAGGCCTTGTGGCTGGGGCCAACTGTGGCCAGGTGTATGCGGTGTTTAAAACGGCTACGAGGAACACCGGCAAGAGTGTCGCCAATAAGAACATCGCCAACCTGACGGCCACCCTGCTGGCCAGCTGCACTCCCATACCACCTCCATCCGTCAGGCTGTCCTGGCGTCCGTGGACAATGAGAAGATGCACACCCCAGACATCGGGGGCCAGGGTACAAGATCTGAGGCCATCCAGGACTTTATCCACCACATCCGCGTCATCAAAGGCCGGGCTGTGGAGGCTTCGGCTGGCCCTGGAACCTTGGTTTGCTCCTCAGATCCCCCGTCTCACTCCAGCACCCCAGCCAGCCTGGTAGGCAGAGCCCAGAATAAAGCAGCTTCACCTCAATAAGAAAGTTAAGAAAAAAAGAAACGCAGGCAGACAAAACAACCGTATCCAGTTTCAAGAACACCCACAGGTTTAATTTTTTAAATTTTTATTGTTTAAACCCATTCTGAACTTTGGGGGCCAAGGCAGGAGGATCACTTGAAGCCAGGAGTTCGAGACCAGCCTGGGTAACGTAGCCAGACCTTATTTCTATTAAAAAGTTTAAAATGCGCCGGCCGTGGTGGCATGCACCTGTAGTCCCAGCTACTCGGGAGGCTGCGGTGGCAGGATCACCTGAGCCCAGGAGGTTGAGGCTGCAGTGCGCTGAGATCGCACCACTGCACCTCAGCCTGGGCAACAGAGCAAGATCCTGTCTCAGAAAAAGAAAAAAAAAATCCAGTCGTTATGGGGACAGAAGGGGAGAAAAAGGAAGAAATATACAAAACGAGAGGCAGTGGAGGGGGGAGTGGGGACTAAAAACATATTTGTTAAATGAATATAGCGGTGAACAAGGAGATACAGCCCCCAGAGGCTCCTGGAGGCCACAGTAAATAAACAAGGGGACAGGATCATTAACAGGGGTGTCCCCTTCAGCCTCTGCCTACCCTGCCCAGTTTCCATCGCGGCACCGACTAGGAGGGGGAAGACGTGGCTGATGGCCTGTCACCCTTCCATATTATCCTGGGAGCCACGTGGGGACAGGGACCCAGGGCTGATTTTGCCACCGCTGCATCCCCAGTGGGTCTGGGGGCTGGCATACAGTGGGCGCTCCATACATGCGCGAGTGTCTTTGACTGCTGGGGGCGTGGGGGTGTCTTTTGTCCTTCCTGCTCCTACAGGAGGATTAGGATGTCCCTGGAGGCAGGAGTCCCCCAAGTCCAGCTCCTGACCCTCCTGGGTCCGAAGAGGGGGAGGGGCAAGTGGGGGTTCCCCCAGTGAGGGGGATGGGGGGACGCAGGTGCTCAGGTGCCGCCCTGGGAGGACTGCGCCCCGGTGGGAGGATGCCAGCACCCCACCCGCGCCCCGCACGGTCTCCACGGCTTGCAGGGCACAAGGGAATGGGCTCCAGCCTGGCCAATGGGGACGCGGAGGGGGCGCATTACCTCATCAGGCGGCGCGGCCATTGGCTGCGGGCGTCCGGTGGGCGGGACCGCGGCGCAAGCTCCCTGAAACCCGGGAGGGGGTGGCAGGGGCCAGCCTGGAGGATCCCGTGGGACTGGGGGAAGGGGAGGGGAGGGGAGGGGAAGCGAGGGGGTAGTGCAGGAAATAGGGAATTTGCAATATCTGCGGGGCTGTGAGTGGGTCTTTGGAAGAATATCCCTGTCCCTCAACTCCATGCTGCCCCCTACTCCGAGTCGTCCCCCTCCCACGAGGGTCCCCTGGACTGGGCATCTTGGTGGGGGAGGGAGAGGGGGTGGGAGGAGCAGAAGGGGAATGAGAGGGTGCCCCCCCAGAGAAATTAGCAGCCCCCTTCTCAAGGGCTCTTTTACCACCCCTCCCCCCGCGCACACAGTGTCCCCCAGGCAGCATGGACAGGCGCACCCACCCCCACTCAGAACTCACCTCTGTTTGTGGAACTGCCTGATACCGCAGCATTCCTCCCACAGAATTCTAGGCCACGCGTGCGATCCTCAGACATCCTTGTGGCACCCACAAGTGGTGGTGGGGGGGCGGGGAGGGCTCCATGTCTTTGAGCCTCAGTTTCCCACTGTGTGAAATGGAGTAGATAAAAGCCTCCACGTCCCAGGACTGCCTCATTCAATCAGGTCATCAAGCATGTACCCATACGGGGTGCTGGGGATACCGGTGGGCACCACCGAGGCACGCCCGGACTCCACAGGAAGGTCTGGTGGGGGAAAACAGAGGTAGATGGGTAGATACAGCAGATTGTTTCAAAAGGCCATTCCCGCAAAATAAAAGAAAAATGAAGAAAATAAAAACAAGGGGATCAGGTGGAGAGTGAGTTGGATGTTACTTTAGACCCGAAATCAAGGTGGGCTTTCCTGAGGAGGTGATGTTTAGAGAGAATAAAAAGAAGCTGTTTGAAGAGCCAGGCGAGATAGCTCAGGCCTGTAATCCCAGCACTTTGGAAGGCTAAGGCGGGTGGATCACTAGGTCAGGAGTTCGAGACCAGCCTGGCCAACATGGTGAAACTTTGACTCTACTAAAAATACAAAAATTAGCCGGGTGTGGTGGCACATGCCTGTAATCCCAGCTACTCAGGAGGCTAAGACAGGAGAATTGCTTGAACCTGGGAGGCGGAGGTTGCAGTGAGCTGAGACTGCACCACTGCACTCCAGCCTGGGTGACAGAGTGTGACTCCATCTCAAAAATAAATAAATAAAAATAAAAACAAGGGGATGAGGTGGAAAGTGAATTGGATGTTACTTTAGACCATCAATCAAGGAGGGCTTTCCTGAGGAGGTGATGTTTAACAAGAATAAAAAGAAGCTGTGGGAAGAACTGGGAGAAGAGTTCCAGGTGGAGGGAACTAGCCTGTGCAAAGGTCCCGAGGCAGTGCTGAGCCTGGCGGAAGGGTGAGGAGGCCTGTGTGGCTGGAGCAGAGTGAGGAGGGGGAGGGAGGGAGGAGGGGAGCAGAGGGTGGGGAGGGATGGGGCAGGTCGTGCAAGGCCTTTTAGAGCTTATTAGCAACTTGGGCTTTGACCCCAAGGGGCATGGGAGCCATGGAAGGCTGTGGGTAGAGGAGGGCTGGACGCTGAGTCACAGGAGGTTCTCAGGAGCTCTCTGGCTGCTTGCTGTGGGGAGGACAGTCTGTGGGGTGCAGGGGTGGGATCCAGGGACCAGGATGGAGGTGACCCTGCTCATCTAGATAAGCAATGATCAGGGCAGATCAAGGCTGGAATCATAGGAGGAGTGAGGAGAGGACAAGACCAAGGTCTGTTTGGAGCCGACAGATTTTATTCTAGAAGTATTGGGTTGCGGGGGAGGTGAATCGGTTCCTGCACAGGACTGGACCCACAGTGGCCGAAGGGGTGAACAGTAGTGGGATAGCTGGGTGGTCTTTCCCTTCCCCCCACCTCAGGCCTCTACACTCAAGGCCAAATGAATGAGTGAGTCACCTCCAGCTGAGAGTGGCTGGGAGCCGTATACGCTAGGCGCTGACTCAAGCCTCCCACTCTGGCGCCTGTACTCCTGAGTCATCCACACCCCCTGCTCCTCACTGTCTCAAAGCCGGAGGGCCAGTGTACCCCCCAAGCGAGATTAGTAACACATGAAAGCTCTCTCAGCATCTTGCCCTCCTGTCTGAGAACCCGGATTCTACAGTCCCAGCGTCAGCCCCACCTGGTATTGAAATCTCCCCCAGGGTCCCCCTGGGCGGTTAGTGTGACCTTATTTTGCATAGGTCACACTAGGAAGCTCTCTCTTCTTCAGTAAGTAAAATATCATATGAGTGTCCACCTGTTGGGAACCTCCGAGGCTTCCTATCGCCCTCAGGACAAAGTCCCTTCTCCTCAGTGTGGCGTATAAGGCCCTGAGTGGTCTGGGCTCTGCTGACTTCCCCAGCTACACGCCCCCCCCCCCAACTTCCTACCCAGTCACGCTCATGGTTGTAAGCGTAATTCCTTCTCAACCTTTGCACAAGCTGTTCTCTCTCTTTGGAAGGCTTTTCTTCCTTCCTTTTTTGCTTGCTTGCCTCAAAGTATACATTGAAGCACAGTTTAGATGTCAGCCCTTCTAGGAAGGCTTCCCCCACCCCCTAGGGTGAGTTAAAGAACCTTGATCTCCCTTGGATACATTGTAATCTCCCCTAACCTAGCCTTGCAGATTGGAACTCCCACTCGCCAGCTGCTGTCTTCTGGGCTGGTAGCTGTTTGCAGGGCTTGGAAATTCACCTGCCAGGGGTTTTGGTGGGAAAGTTCTATTCTCTCCAGAACTGTCCCTCTGGCTATCCCTGAGGACATCATTAGTTTAAAACCATCTCCTCTGATCTGCTCCCCACAGGCCACCCCCGTCTCCCCACGCAGGGCGGAGGGGTGGGGGTTCCTTTGGAAGAGTGATTGACTAAAGAGCCATTACATTAAAGGGCAAAAGCCCAGTGTTTTCATTTCTGCTGCACCTACAAACTAAATGTTCCTATGTAATTACCATTAGGGACATGTTTGCCTGTGACGGCTCCTGGCTTCCTGGCCTCCCCAGCCGCTCTCTCCCTCCCCTTCTCTGGCCTTTTGCTGTTTTCTCCTCCTCCTCCCACCCTCTTCTTTGGCCTCACTTTTTCTTCCCGTTTCCTCATTTCTCCCTACCTTTCTGCTTTTCCTCCTCCTCTTCTCTCTGCCTCTTCCTGTCTCTCTGCCTCTGTCTCTTCTGTCTCTGTCTCTCTTTGTGTATGTTTCCTCTATGTCTTCAATATCTGTTTATCTCTGACTGTCTCTCTGTCTCTGTCCCTGAGTCCTCCCTCTCTTTTAATGATAAAGTACTCTTTTAATTTGAGCACTTACAAAGTGCTCACATCTTGTGTGTAGCTTGAGAAATTGTGACATGGACATAGACCCATTCGGCTACCACCGCAGCAGGATGTAGAATATTCCAACCCTCAGAAGCTTCCCTGGTGCCTCCTCGCAATTAGACCCTCTCAAGGATAACTGACCTTTTTATTTATTTATTTATTTATTTTTGAGGCAGAGTCTCGCTCTGTCATCCAGGCTGGAGTGCAGTGGCGCTATCTCGGCTCATTGCAACCTCCGCCTCCCAGGTTCAAGCAATTCTCCTGTCTCAGCCTCCCGAGTAGCTGGGAGGACAGGCAAGCTCTACCACGCCCAGCTAATTTTTTTGTATTTTTAGTAGAGACAGGGTTTCACCATATTGCCCAGGCTGGTCTCAAACCCCTGACCTCAAGTGATCCACTCACCTTGGCCTCCCATGGCGCTGGGGTGTTGCACCAGGCGCCCCGATGATCTCTGCCGCTGTCTGGCCTGACTGCAGGGCTCTGATGCCTGGGCCCCTGCTCCAATCAGGTGGGTGATACTGTGGGGAGTAGCAGTGGACCTATCTTCCTGCCTGTGAAG